TGCCACACCACAGCTCCCTTGGGAGAGTAACGGGTCACTCTCATGTAACCCCGTTACACCAGGATTAAGACTCTATTCACCGCAATGGAGCCTGACCTCTCCCGGAGGTGGTAAGGGTTTCCATCTACATGGAGGGTTTCTCGACGCGTGTGGACCGCACCAAAAATTTTAATGCCCATTCACTTCGTTCGAGCAAGTAATGAATATCGTTTCAAGCAATTTTTGAAGTGTATAAGCCTTAATTATAAGAGCTTTAAAGTACTGTCGCTAAAAGTAGTAAAACATGAAATTAAACTTAAATCAAAACACATCGCGGCTGCTACTTTTCGTATCAACTTCACTGCAACTTTTAACAATTTAACAATCACCTCGTTCTACGTGTCGCCGATAAGAATTCTTCGCCGTGGGCGTTGGTTGCCTCTGCGTGTCGCAGAAATGCACCCAATGCACCGAGATAGCCCTCGTGCTTACAAAAGCGAGCCTCCATCGCCGCGTTTGACCAAAAATTAATAGCGTACGCTAACGTTCGCGACGAAATTTCGTTGTGCCGAAGAAAGTTTCCCACGAAAAAAATGTTCTTGGTTTTGTACAAAGTCGCATTCAGAAACGCAATTTGGCCGATATTCTGCGTGATCATCACTAATAGAGATCTTGCCAAATCGGCGTCACTCACATTTTCATGAGATTCGAAAATCATTTTACCAAAACTGCTGGCCACAGTCGCAGCGGGTAGCTTGAATTTGTCATAAGCCCCACCATAGATATCGCCCACACTCATGTCGACCGGTGTGTTCGAGCCATGAACGCATAAATCCAGAGCGTCGTCGTATGTTTCACAGCTGGTCATCAGACGGCATAATCCCCAATAGGTACCGCCGCCGATACTGCTTCCGCTCACACGTTCATACTCTCCAGGCCCTTTCACGTACAGAACGCTCACTCCTGACCCGATACTGACAAGCTGCAATGAGAAGCGATCCCAATCAACTGCGATTTCCATTGATATTGTGCGACATAACGTACCAGATACGGATAAACATCTTGATCAGTTTCAGTTTGGATAGTTATCACTCGCGACGCCGCTAGTGAGTCTAAATCTACGACCTACAATTGAGCAGTATAATTTATATATTCGCATAAACACTTAAATACAGAGACCCCAATCCATACTTCAAAAGTATAAACTTCGTCTGACAGTAACGTAAGGAGCAGATGGAGTCCCAACGTGGTGCAGTCGATCTCATCGTACTTTTTCAGCTCAATACCAGCAATTTTACTAAATGTGGGCCCAAACTATAAACAATGTCAGTAACATTAAAGCAGTTCAATGCAGACATCACACTTGAGACCTTGTGTGCTCCACCTCCCGTGCAGGGCAATATCCGCAGGGATTGATTTATCCCGTTGCTTACAATAAAGTTAATGGCATCACGCGTCTTATTGCTTTCATACCGCACAAAGTGAAACACCTGACGGCTGCATCAGCTAAGCAAATTCACAACAACAGCATTTTTGTATACCTACTCCATGGAGTGTCTTGGACTGAATTCGCAATCGTACATCCTGCACGCCCGTGCCACCGAACGATTCGTGTTCACGTAAAAATTTATTCATCTCGCCGGCTGCAATGTCTAGCGAGGCCGAACGCGGTCGCTTTCGCACATCGGTACTGACCTCATGACGCTCGAAGTACACGATTTTGGCCAGCGTGCCACCTACAGCAGCGTCAAACTAAAACATTTATGCTATGTAGGCTAGAACTAATGTACCAATATCCAGGCCAAAAGACGTTCCCAAGTCGGACCTGTAGTGATAAGGAGAACGATAATCTCAGCAGTACTTTTAACAATTGAGATCGACGTTTCAAAATTTGTTACGATTTTGATAATTTCTTGTGGTTGAGTCGCTGGCGCCAGATCCACTGACGGTTCTTCTTGCGCTTTAAGCATAAAAGCGCTACTGTCGAGGAGAATAAGAGAAAGCCGCCGGACAGAAGCGCACACTCGGCCATAACACGCATCTGATGAAGCGCGTTTTGGCCAATAGTATGGCGACTCGGAATCGTATTTTTATGAAAGACTTGATATTTGCTTTTACAAAAAAATCTATCCTTTTGATCACTGCCATAATATAATAATAACCCTTGATTTGTCGCAGCTTGTCAGATATTATCTGACAAGCTGCGACAAATCAAGAAGCGCTCCAGTAAGAATGTCTTGTATTTATTTATATACATTTAGAGCAGAATATAATCTAGAAAATTTGTGAAAAGACGCTCTTACATATGATCAAATAATAATAGATAATAAGGATGGGAGTTTCAAACTTTTGTGCAGTTGCCTTGTTAGTTGTCAATTTCATCAATTTCATTCTGCCAGAGATACCCCACGAATTGTTTCCATAAACTTGATAGCGCAATCAAGTAATATTACGTTTGGTAGCACTCGTTGGTCAAAAGCCGAAGCTCCTGCTAAATCAGATTTACGGCTGATATCTCCTTTCTTCTCTCCTCATTTTGATCTGTACCTTGCGGCCTTCGGGACTCGGTGGTTGCTCACAAATAAAGTCTTGCATGAGGGGTTAGTGAAGGCCGTAGGTATTTAATCGCCGAGAACCAAGGCTCTTTAGTTAGGGTTGCTATTGGTTTTTAATAATAATTTGCGACGTACAAGATGGAACAAGCATTTGCGGCATAGGTGCATGCAATGAAGCAGCAAAAACAGATGCTTCAAGCTTTGGTAAAAGTCCAGACAAATCATCTAAACATTAAAGCTGTAATGCAGCAGCAGCTCGCCGACCGCGGACCATGGGGGAACAGCGGAGAAGAAAATAGAAGGGCTCTTGATGCCAAAGTATTTTAGATAGATGGAAGAGAGTGTCGAATTGTACATCAATAAAGTCAACACGATTTTTAAAGCAATCCAAATGCCAAAGAAGAAATGATGTAGAGAGCTTGACAATGATGGTTGTAAATTTAATAGGACTCATTGCCGCATAATACCAAGAACATGCTCAGTCGACGGGAGCGTTACCATAGTTTCTTGTGGAGTTTGAGCCGGCAGATTCGCCAGATCGATCGAGAAGCGAATTGGTAAGCTTGAAACAGAAGAATAGCAAAGACTTCCTGACTTCATTGTCATTTAAATTACAGACATGTTGAAGCTTGACAATTTTTCGAAGTTTAACCGAGGATTAAGAGAACGTACAAGAGAAGAAGTACAGAAGTAGCGATGCGATACCATCCAGAAAGCACTAGAACTTCAGAGAGCGCATAACGTTCCATTGGGGCTTGATAAGCAAAGACGAAATCGAGACCAAGATCGATAGAGAGGACAAAGAAATTGGAATACCCACAACTCATCGCGGCAGGGATATGACAGCATGGAGGTCAACATGAATGTGTGACGAAGAAATAATAGCAGCAGACAAAGCATGACGTGCTAAAACCGAAAAAAACGGGACACGATGCTGCTCAATGAGCGCAACCGAGGCAACAAATAGGAAAGCGAAATCGGGAACTAGATCAACCACAAATTCGAGATCGAGTAAAGCAGAACAACATTGATATTACGAAGAATAAAGAGAGTGAATCTACTAGAAATAAAGACAGCGGAAGTAGAAAAATCAAAGAATTTGGTATGAGCTATGACTAGATCGAGGTAGAAAGATAAAAGAAAACGTTCTACAAAGGGCATTTTGAATTGGAAGAGTATGCGGATACTCATTAAATGTGAAGCTTCGGGCATAATTTGTTGGCCAGGACTTGATAAGAACGTCATGAGAGCAAATAAAGTCCTGGTGGAAAGCTTTGATGGCTCGTGAATATCAACTTGGAAACTAAACGAGATAACAGAAATGTTGCGGCACCACGGATGGATATTCAAAGACGTGTGTATGACCGAATAAAACTTGGGAGGAAACAAATATGATGTCATCGTAGGAAAGCCAAGGTTCGATTAAAAAAATCTAAAGATCACGGCATCCGATGCTGAGAAGAACCACATCTCGGACTCTCTCTGAGCTATGCATTCGGACCGCGTGGCCTTAAGCGTCTCCTTCGGATTGGAACCGCAGTGCTGGGGCATAGAGTAGCTCGGCTACAGGGTGTGGTTAAGTCGCTGGACCATTCACAACTGAGCTCTTCACGTCCAAATGGATCGTGAAGAGGGATCGTGGTGTGAATCAGTTAGCACACTCGCTTTAAAATTTTCAAAGCACAATTCGAACTCTTTTAACTCAGGCCGTGAACGGTCTGATGTATTGCGATCGCGACTTTGGTCTTCAAGCCGCAGACAAATTTTTGTGTAGATAGGTTAGCTACATATAAGAAGATCTTTTTCTCACACAATATCCATCTGTCTTTGGCATTCGCGTGTTGTCTCTGTAAGATTTTACCCTCAGCCACAACGTTGCGCACTCTGCGCATGATGCTTTCTCTCATCAAATCAAAATCACTCATTTACCGCGCAGTGTAGCCGGGTGATATCAGCAAGTCGAATTAGATTGAAATCCTCTCATCCACACATTTTGAATTACTTCGTGGCGGCATTAAAGGCACTTAGAAATTTTCGTCATTTTCTTTTAAGTTTTATGAAATATGGTAAAGCCTATTAAAGTATTCTGCGCATAATCAAGGAGTGGTAGCAACTTGCTCTTACAACTCGAATCTGGTTCGTCCGACCAACCGTTTGGGGATGGTCAGTCTGC